CCCCCCACGATCACCGAGCTCAGGACACTTACGTTCTTCTGTCAATCGATTGACAACTCTTTTTGATTTGAGCTGCGGGAGGTTATCTCGATCCTGATGACGTCGCGAATGCCTAGATTTCGCTGGTTCCGCCAGCTGGATTTGCTGGATTTGCCCCGGTGCGTCGCGCAATTCTTTCACATTGAACGAGAGAATTATGAAGGAAAACATCGCGCTACGTGATAAGAATTATTATGGAACGCCTGCGTCAACAGCTGTCGACATCTAGATCTCTATCTTCGACTCGCGTACGCATGCTGTGGGGTGAATCATTTGAACGATGGGTCGGGGCTCGCTGTCAGTGAACGCGACGCTAAGAATTCCTCAAAAACGTCGGAGTCCTCACTGTTGCCCAACAGACCAAACAGACCAAACAGACCAAACAGACCAATGGATATTCGTCCATTGCGTTCGAGAAAACGCAGCTACGTCACGTGGCGGCCGCGTGATGTCGTCGACTTTCGGCTCTTCGGCCTCTCAGTCTCCAAGGCTTCGCTCCTCGCAGCCTCCGTCACTCCTCCTGTTACTCGCTCCTTAATCTCGATAGAAACGGACGGATTCTAGGAAGTCGGAGACTCCTCGGGTCGCCATGCTGCTGCAGGCCACAGGGCGCTGGACTCGAAATGCACGTGGACTGCACGGGGGGGAGGGCAGGAAGCGCCGGGCTTCGGATTTTCCTGGTATTACGGGAGCGTACCGTACCTGCTACCGTACCGTAGATTCCCATGGACGCGATTGCGCGGCTCCCCGATAATGCCGCGAGAGTAGTGATAGTAGTGATAGTAGCGATACACGGGCGATATAGTGTCAACGGAGTTTGACCTTTAACAGTTCGGAATGGATCGAGTCGCGTCGCAAGGAATCCGAGTGCGCACGAAGAGCGATCGAGCCTATTTCAATCGGCGCAGCGACCTGCGATCTTCGCTACTGCTGCTCAGATAAATGAACAGCCGATATAAATTCCGATTAATAGATAGGCACTGCGTCGCCCTCGGATCTTTTTTTTTTTTAATTACGTCGCGTCAAATATCCACCTGCGTTATTCCCTATCTACTTGTAAGCGTGGACAAAGAAACACGCAGATCTCGCACTCCGCGTGACCAACGGAAAATAGTGGGATGTACCTACGATACAAGATTTCAAATCGAGATATAGGAAATTTGCAAAACATAGGTATTATAGAAATTGTCAAATTCTGTGTGACATATACATATGTACATATATATAGGCCCACTACTCTTACAGAAATGACGCAATGACATTATCAGAATTTATGAGTTATGCATTTTCATCGAATCACGCGTCGGCACTATCGGAATTTCAAGCGTTACGCATTTTCGTGACGCATCATTTTCCCTGAAATACGAGCTATTAAATATCCTAATGTTAAAAGTGACTGTACCGTAGGAAAAATCGATAGGAAATTGCAGGCTTGGATTTGCAGTGGCGTCTCGAGCCTCTTCTTCGCTTTGCGTCGAGTCGCTCTTGACGGCCCGAGTGACGACACGCGACGACACGTGACGTAGACGCAAACATACGTCGGTGCGAATTTTAAAGATTTACGAACTGAAACCTGAGCTTCTTATCGATCGGACTTTCTTCTCTCTCCTTTCGTCTCCATTTATTCCCACCTGCTGGCATCTCTTTATCTCTCCTGCTCTCTTTTGTTCTATCGCGAAGTCCTCGTGGAAATTTCAACGGCGTCCTCCTCCTTGACGCGTTACATTAGTTTGATTATTTGGAGGGTCATTGCCCGATGGCCGATCGCCGATCGCCGATCGCCGATCGGTCGTTACGAGACTCCCGAGATTCGTACGTAGACGAAGGTGAATGCATGTAACTGGTACCGTGTTAGGTGGTAGGTGGTACACGTGATACATGATCCCGGAATACCCGGAATAGGGCACGGGGACTGGTGTGCGTTAATGCAATTGGTATTGGTAGTCAGAGACACACTATCTTGCGATCACCGAGCGAACGTGACTCAGAATCAGCTCAGGAAATAATTTGAGCTGCCAACGTTGTCGTCGACGTCGCAGCCCTTTCACCGGTGTGCACGATATGCGTCATTCCCATTGTAGTATGAGCCGTGGCCCGTGGCCCGTGGCCCGTGGCCCGTCGGCTTCGGGCCCAATATTAGAGTCCGAATCGTTAACGGGGTTTGTGTGCTTGATCGTTACGAGGAAGTGTAAGTGGGAGATCGGCGTTGCCGATAAGCGAACGACGATAGTCACTGCCGCCACCGTTACATTCAACTCGTACGTCAATAGAGGGAGACCATTTCCACGCTTCCACGCTTCCACGTTTTTACGTGTCTCTACGTCTCCTCTGCGGGTGCTACTCGATCCCCCCACTACTCCACACTACTTTACACACGCTGTGCCTCCCAAACCGGAAGTGACGACACTCCAGTTACTCGAGTCAACGCACACCTTCTGTTTTCTTATTCTCCTTCTCTCTTTCTCTTTCCTCCCTTCCTCCTCTCCTCCTCTCCTCCTCTCCTCCTCTCCTCGAGCCCTTTGCGTGTGCGTCGTGGAATCGTTCGGTGCGTCGCGACGTCTCGCACAGATTCACTCGAGGCTCCGTATCTCCGTTATCGTCCCCCGATACGTGTCGCGTTTAAAGTCGTAGTTGGCGAAGCCGTCCCCGTCCCCTTCTCCTCCTTGGGTGGGAAAGGAGGTGGTAAAGGCAATCCGAAGAAGAAGGAGGAGAAGGAGGAGAAGGAAAAGGTGCAGGAGGCAGAGCGGCAGTGCCTCGTAGGAGCACCGCGAGCGGCGCTGCAGGCGTCGCGACGACGAGTCGAGCCGGCGCTGGTCGGTTTGGTTCGCGGCAGCGCGCGCAGTCCCACGCGGACCACGCGCCTCCGTCAAGCGTGGGATCCGCGACGGCGGTAACGGGAGTAACGCTGGTAACAGCGGTAACAGCGGTAACAGCGGTAACAGCGGTAACGTAACGGTGTCACTGGCTACGAGGGAAGCGTCGCGACGCTAGAAAAGTCAGCCATTTTACTGCGCCATGCGTCGCGTTCCGTAATACCGTGAGGAAAGTGCGTCTTTCGTATGCGCCACGGGCTTCTGCGCACTCGGCATTCCATCGAGAGGCAGCAGCTCTCCTCCGCTGCCACCTCCGCTGCCACCTCCGCTGCCACCTCCACTATCGCCTCCTCCTCCTCCAGGGCCACGCTACCACTACGTCAACTACAAGTTGAACTACTACGCCACAACGGCTATCGCGACGGCGGCCCCGTGTCCACCTGCCGCTCGATTCCTCGTCTCTCTACACGCACCCACCACCTCCCTACTGCCTACTGCCTCTAGTCGCCCGAACTGCGTGCGTGCAAACACGAGGACGGCTGCCCAACCGGCAAGGCGATGCTCCTTCGCCGCGGGACGAGTTCAAGATGCCCGCAGGAAGTTTGTGCAACGTGCAAGCAGGAGAGCAGCCAAGGAAGGACGCATCGTGCGCTACGTGCGCTACGTGCGCGACGTGCGCGACAGCCGGCGAGATGGGAGGAACGATCTGCGCAGTTGGGTCGATCAGCGTCGGCGCTGGCCGTCGTAGCGACGTCAAGGGTGCTGCTTCGCCACGTGAGTGACCACCGCGTCACGACGACCTTCTCGACTGTCAACGCCTCGACCTTGGTAGGAAGCCTCGGCGTCGCTTCTCCCATGGCCAAAGACGCCGCGAAGAGTCTCATGGCGACGCTTATTATGTAATCCTACGATAAAGCGGACGAAGCGAATGAAGCGACCAGCAAGTATTTTCGGAATGGTCGCGGCGCGTTGTGACGCTGGAAATCCAACTGCGTTATTTCATATCCTTTCCATGGTAGTCACTTTTCATAGACTTACGGGTCTGTTGTTATTCCCATGCATTTCAAGGTAAAAGTAACCGACTTATAAGTCTATAAAAAGTGACTACCATAGAAACAATATGAAATAACAAAGAACGTGCCTATGTGGAAACGCGTTACGCACAGAGCCAGAGAGGCAAGACTTCCCCTGAAGTCTCTCTCGAAGTCGACATTTCCGGCACAAGGTTCGCGACCACGTGCCTCGTGTTTACCGTTACGTCCTGCCCGGAAGCTGCGACTCCTGGAGGAAGATGAAGGTGAAGCGACTTTGCCTCGCTCGTATTTTGCACCAAACGAATGACAGTGTTACGTTACATGAACCTCACGAAATCTGGTGGAATTTCAATGTTCCAGTTCCGGTCGGCACCGGGATCGGCAGAGGGTGGTGCAACCATCTTCGATAGGTGCTGAATGTCAAATCCTTCTCCCTTCCCGCCCTCCTCTCTCTCTCTCTCTCTCTCTCTCTCTCTCTCTCTCTCTCTCTCTCCCGCACAGTCTACAACTCGTCGATCCTACTTGGAAACTTTGAATGCCGCTTTACATAATTTCTCGGCGAAAACACTGGGCCGTGCAGTCACTTCGGAATTGGGTCCATTCGGCTCGCAGCCGGAGCTTCGTTATCGGCGTTCACTGTCCCGAGCTGTTCACCTAATCGCGCCCGTCACACGGGCACACCGTCCAAGTCTCCCAGTCAGCGGGCGCAGGAGGCTGCGCGAGCGAGCACCGTGTGGAACGGAAGATCGGGCCGAAGGTGCGACCGAAGACGCCACGTGAAATGTCGAAACTCTGAGGCTCCGGCAGCTGAGAAGCCGAGAGAAGGATGTGAATTTTTGGAGGGAAGTGAAACTCGCTGCGGCCTCAGGATGGAATCCGCCGCCACTGCCGCGACGAATTAGTTGGGGGGGGGAAAGGGGGGAATCGCGGGAGAAGGCGAGAGGTGAGAGGTTGTTAGTGTCCAGCAGTGTCCAGCAGTGTCCAGCGAGATTCCGTGAGGGACGGTGGTCTTCCGCGCGAAACGCTCATCGGGAATTGCAGAATGCCCAGGAGACCGGAAACGGGCAGGGACGCCCCTGAACCCCGCGCGCCTCCCCGGATGAGGCTGCCTCTCGCGTGCTGGGCTGACCTTCCGGCTACAGAAGGGCTACGGTAGAACCTGCACTTTGGAATCGGGTTAACGCGTGTGAAAGTGCGCAGAACGTGTCATGGAGCCAAAGTGCACTCGCCCCGGAAATAGTCCCTCTCGCGCGGGACGCATCTCGAAGTCCGGCGATCGTTTTGGGTGTTTGTCCTGTTATCGACGCCAGTACCGCAGTGGGACTACGAGTGCTACTACTCTCGACGAAGATGCTGAGCAAGGATCGTTCCTTCTTGCTGGCAGCAGCAGCAGCAACAGCAGCAGCACCGTAATCTCTAGTGTAGCTCCTATGTACTGTGGGAGCAATGGGTGCGCGGTTAGTCACCCAGAGTTGGCTACAGTGGTGAGACAGTGACGACGTCGGCGGCAGCGATGTGTGCCTAGTGATGAGGACGGAGGTGGGGAGGGGCACATGTTGCAGATACAAGATGGCGGCTCAGCGTTCACACGTGAACGTCCTCGCGCACCGTCGAGCGGCGCGGCGAATTCAGGCAGCACGAGTCGCAGCCGCAGCCGAGACCCGAGACGCTCCGAGACGCTCCTAGATCATCGACGCCGGCCGAAGACGCGGCGGCGTCACGTTATTTCTCCGGACTGGGCGGCTCTGCTTGGCTGAAGGAGATGCAGTGCCGTCCTCGGTGGGAGAGGCTGAGTCGCCGAGATCTCGCGGGAGCGTCGAAGCCTACCGGAAGACGTCGCTCCTCCTCGGCGAATTCCTCGTGGTAAGATTTCCAGGAAGTACTAGTCGAGAACGGACGAAAGGGCTCCCAGCAAGTCCAGGCGTCCGCCTGGGAGGAGATCGCGTTGCCTGTCGCTTCCATCCCCGCAGATTGCTGGACCGATTCGTCGCAGCCGGGGTGGGCGGAGGGGGATTCCCCGAGGCTCCCGCGGGCCTCAGCGGTGCAATCGGGGGAATCACCGGAATCTCCAATCTCGAATTCGGAATTCAGAATGCAGAACCTGCCTGAGGTAGATTCCTCTAGCTGCTCGAGTCGGTCGAAGGAAGAACGAGCGAAGCACATTCTCGATGATGCTTTCCGATCCGCCTTAACGGTTTCTATAGCTGCGAGCGCCAAGTGCGTTGTGCGTTTATCTCGATAAACTTACGTTCCCGCGTTCTTTGCGTTCTTTGCGTTCTCTGCGCGCCTCGCCATAATGCACGTCATAACGCGCCATACGCGCCATACGCGCAATATTCGATAGGACGACACACCATTCTCATGTGAGCGTACATGCGACCTCGTCCACTCTTCCACTCTTCCACTCGTCCACTCGCAATGCCAGTCTGCCCTTCATTCACAATTGCGTTGAGAATCTCCTCTACCTCCTCTACCTCCTCTACCTCCGTTGCCGCCGCTTGGAACGCTCGCTCATTCTTTCCCAGTATTGCGAATATTCGAGGGGACTCTGTGCATGTGTGTCACGTGCTCCTGCACGTAAAGGCGACTGTCTGGCTGACAGCGTGTGGGTGGTGCGCACCCACGTGGCTGCTTCGCGTATCGTGCGAAGCCGCCAAATTGCCTGAATGTTGGCTGCACTTGCAATCGATAGTCACTCTGCTATAGGACGTTGACTACTCGGTAACGTCCCAACTCCAAAAATATATAGTTCGTACACGATTGTATACCATTCGCACATGACTATGTATATTTCACGTATGAACGATACCGTTTTTTGACTGGAGATGGTTCGCATGTTGCACGCAGCCAGAAATCGGGACCGGAAACAGAAAGGCCATTCGTCGGAGAAAGGATCCTTCTGCACCGAGTCAGTCGGCTCAATTCTCTTCCTTAAGCTGCAATTGGTTTGCTGCTCTAAGGCGTCCTAAGCAGCCGCTTGTTGCACTTTTGTGCAATGGGATGTGACTCTGCGCAGGACGATCCACGAGGAGGAATTCCGCGTGATGACGATATATTACGGGCACGAAGGGAACGTCACAGGGTGGCTCCTTGCGCCGGCTGCCGGAAGCTGTAATGGCGAGTTTCACGAGTCGCGTTCAAAGGCGGGCTTTTCAAAATGAATCAGTTGTGTCGGTCGGAGAGTGACGCGATGGCCGCGCGTCACGTTCCTCGAGGTGCCGTGTCGAGCGAGGCCCGAGGATTCGGCAGATTGTACAGCGACCACAGCGGCTTCGGGGGGGCGGCGGGGGAGGGTGGGTCAATTGTGTCGTCACAAGGCGCATCCTCAAGCAACGACGTAGTCGCGTCTGCTGTCGCAGGTAGCGCGGGCCGCTTCTAGGTGAACGTTACGTGGCTGGCAGGTCGGCTGCGCGCGCGCGCGCACGCACACGCACACGCACGCGTTGTCGCGGGCTACACAGATCGATAGATACTACGCAGAAACGCTTCTCGACACGCACACAGCCCGATGCAGTCCGCACCTTCGGCAGCCTCCTCCTCCTCCTCCTCCTCCTCCTCCTCCTCCTAGCTGCCGCAATTCGATGATTTGATAGCCGAACGGATAAGGGATGGTGGTGGTCAGTGAATAAGAGGCGGCCGGCGGGATCCAGATACGGGAAAGCTTTAGAACCTTTTACTTTAGCTAGTCAGTCGAGTGGAAGAAGGAAATGCGTTCGCAGCACGTGGTGCAGGACGCGACGCCGATTGGTTCCTTGCATTATCGATGCAACATTGGATATATCGGTTCTTATTTATTCGTATCGCCCGATTGCTAAATCTTCGAACGGGTCGACGCGGGGCACATTAAATAATGCATTCCCTTCCTGCACAATTATTCGATTGCCAGAGACTAAGTACTGAGTGCCAATAATCGAAAGGTGGTCGAAGTCTGCAAAGCGGATAGTAAATGTTCGAAGGTAGCGAAGGCACCAACTGCAGTGAAGGTGGAAAAAAGGAGGAAATTTTGAAGGAGGATTCAATCGAGACTGTCCTTTTGCGTTGCGACTAACAAATTATATCTCGGATCCACG